TCCCAAATTGGAAGTTGGAGCACTGCCACCTGCACCCATGGGTCTAGTCCTTCAGAGTGCCCACCTTAGAACTCAGGACCACCCCAGCTACTGGCCACAACGGCAGCCACAGTGCTTTTCACTGGCCCGAATGCAGTCTCCTGACAGGAGGGTCAGGCGTGAAGGTATGGAGCATGCCTGGGACATGCTGCACCTTTGTCAGCTGTCTACGCACTGTGGTCACAGGTATGCCCATCAGACTCCGCATGACAAACCCTTTAAACAAGTGTTTCTCAAGCCATGGGTCACAACTGTGTGTGTGTGTGTGTGTGTGTGTGTGTGTGTGTGTGTGGTGTGTGTGTGTGTGTGATGTGTGTGTGTGATGTGTGTGTGTGATGTGTGTGTGTGATGTGTGTGTGTGATGTGTGTGTGTGATGTGTGTGTGTGATGTGTGTGTGTGATGTGTGTGTGTGATGTGTGTGTGTGATGTGTGTGTGTGATGTGTGTGTGTGATGTGTGTGTGTGATGTGTGTGTGTGATGTGTGTGTGTGATGTGTGTGTGTGATGTGTGTGTGTGATGTGTGTGTGTGATGTGTGTGTGTGATGTGTGTGTGTGATGTGTGTGTGTGATGTGTGTGTGTGATGTGTGTGTGTGATGTGTGTGTGTGATGTGTGTGTGTGATGTGTGTGTGTGATGTGTGTGTGTGATGTGTGTGTGTGATGTGTGTGTGTGATGTGTGTGTGTGATGTGTGTGTGTGATGTGTGTGTGTGATGTGTGTGTGTGATGTGTGTGTGTGATGTGTGTGTGTGATGTGTGTGTGTGTGTGTGTGTGTGTGTGTGTGTGTTCGAAAAATCCTTTCACGGGTCACCTAGGACCATCAGAAAATGGAGCGATGGCTCAGCGGTTAAAAGCACTGACTGCTCTTCCAGAGGTCCTGAGTTCAATTCCCAACTACTTGGTGGCTCACAGCCATCTGTAATGAGATCTGGTGCCCTCCTCTGACATGTAGGTATACATGCACCACCAACACCAACACCAACACCCAGCCAATAGATCTTTTTTAAAAAAAGCCCAAACAGGCCGGGCATTGGTGGCGCATGCCTTTAATCCCAGCACTCGGGAGGCAGAGGCAGGCGGATCTCTGTGAGTTCGAGGCCAGCCTGGTCTACAGAGCTAGTTCCAGGACAGTCTCCAAAGCCACAGAGAAACCCTGTCTCGAAAAACCAAAAAGCCCAAACAGATGTTTACATTATGATTAATGACAGAAAAATGGTTATGAAGTAAGGGAGGGTCACCATTAGGACGGGTGATGGCGAATCTCAACCTGACGGCAAGGAGGACAGCCGACATCTATAAAGTACAACATAGATGTGTCTGGGAAGCTGTTTCCAGAAAAGATTGGGGAGACCCACCCTGAACATGAGTGGTGCCACCATGCTGGTCCTGGATACAGTAAGGGCAGAGCCAATAGCACGAGTATATAGCCTCTGTTCCTGACCCCATGAGACGATTGGCTCTGCTCCACCACAGGCCCACAGAGCCAACTGACCATGAGCTGAGACTGAGCCAATCAGTTCTCCTCCCTTGAGAGGCTTCTTCAAACAGAGCTAACAAGGGCACACTGAAGCACATCGCACCTTGACCTTCCCAGTCTCCAGAACTGTAATAACTTCACATTCTTTAAGTACCCAGCCTCAAGCATTTTGTTACAGCAGCACAAGTGGACCAAGATACCCCGATACCCCTTTTTGTCAGGATGAATTTGTTGCCAGTTCGCAGATGCTCAGCTATTATCAGTTATAGGAAGAGTGGGTTTTAAAAGACTCTTTTGGGGGCTGGAGAGATGTCTCAGGGGTTAAGAGCACTGGCTGATCTTCCAGAGGAACCAGGTTCAATTCCCACTACCGACATGGCAGCTCACACTGTGTGTAACGTCAGTTCCTGAGACATGCAGGCAAAACACCAATGCACACAAAAAAATTAAAATTAAACAAATTGCAAAGGACACTTTGGTCTATGACCTTTCAGCAGGTACAGGGCTTGACAGGCCTGGAATACAGTGGAAGAGAAAAACCTACTCTTTCAAGTTGTACACACACACACACACACACACACACTTTTCAACGACTTTAAACCATGTGTGTCAGATGAGTGGGTGTGGACAAGTAAGGCCAGAAGGCAGCGTCAGCTTCCCTGAACTAGAGTTAAAGGCAACTGTGAGCCTCTGGGGTGGCAGACTGGCAGAGAAGGAGCCTGGTTCCTGTTAGACTTCATCCTGTAGTCTCAAACATTTAAAATGCAAAGCTCCTTGCTGAGGACTAACAGAAGGGCTCCTCCCTGGGAGGTGACCTCTACATGGCTCTGGCAAACCACTGACCATGAGACTGTGGGTTCAGCAGTCCAGAACTCTACTTTTCTTTTTGGAGACAGGGTTTCTCTGTGTAGCCGAGACTGTCCTGGAACTCGTTACGCAGACCAGGTTGGCCTCGAGATCTGCTTGCCTGACTCCCAAGTGCCAGGATCAGAGGCCTGTGCCACTGCACCCAATGAGATCTCCATTTTCAACAGCTGCCAGAAAGCTCTGTCTTTTGTGATACCGCTCCCCTTTCCCGGAGTTGGTATTGAGAAAGACCATAGTTCTTGCAGACCAGACCCAGCCTGTGAGGCACCACTTCTGATTCAGCGGTCAGAAAACAAACTCTGCTTCTTAATGGCAGTGGACTTCCCACCAGCTCAACCTCTATCCCCGTGACAGCCGTTGTAAATGTTCCTAAATGGGCTGCAGATGTAGCTCAGTCGGAAGAGTGATGGTCCAGGCAGGAGGGAAGTCCTGGGTACAGTTCCCAGCAGTGCACAAAGGTGGACTTGGGGGGGGGGGGTGTCTCACACCTGTGATCTCAGTCCTCAGTGGGGTAGAAGGAGGTGACATCAGAAACTTGAGGACAGCATGGGCCATGAGACCCTCTCTCAAAACCACAATAAAACAAATGTCTGTAGAATCCAGCCCCATGGGAACTGAGCATGGAATGCAGCTCAGTGGTAGAACACTACATTACATGCACAGGGGTCCTGGGTTCAATTCCTGGCACTGAAACCTGCCTGGGCCTCTGCCACTTTCAGCCCCCTGCAGTCTCCGGTTGCCCCCTCCCCTCCCCCTCAGGCATCCCAAGCAGGCCCCTACCCCAGACCTCCCACAGCACTCCCTCAGGAAACCCTGGCAGTTCATTTGTCCCTGAAGCACTCACCTTCAGTCTGATTCCGTAGCCCAGGTTGGCCTTGAACTCCTACCTCAGCCTCCAGAAATGCCGGGACTACAGCAATGTGTCAGCATGCCTGACACATGTAAAGGGCCTCAGAGTAGGGCTTGGCAGCAGTAAACACTTGGTAAATGGGAGCTATCATTATAGCTGGCCTTGAACTCTTGACAACCTGTCACAC